ACAACAATAGTAACATGAGACTTGGTTCACACACTGTTGGGAAAAAATTGTGGAATGTACAATATTTCTTCTGACTAAACCATTCTTGGAAAGTTATCTTTACTGGTTCGTTTCATTAGAAATTATAGAATTTGATAACTTAATGTTTTTTAGGAGTACGTATTCACATTCTAATAATGTATTAATAGAATATGAAAATGATTTTCAAATAAAAAAAAAAATTGTATGTATTTAGAAATTATGACAATCAAATTTCACATGATGTGTAGTTATTGTTAGTTGTGCTTGAAGTTGTCTTTATTGTTAGTAGTGTGTTAAGTTTTGTTGACATGAATCCTTTCCTTCTAGTCTGTTGTCCTGACAACCATTATGGGCCAGACTGTAAACCATGTTCCAACGGAACAAGGAAGCCTTGTTCGGGACATGGTCATTGCAAGGTCAGTATTATTTCACTATGGCCATTTTTTATGCTAATCAAAAACTTTTAATTCAGAATTGGTTCTTATCAAGTCAACATAGATATCCGTTTAACAACTGTGAAATAATCAGATGTAATTATGTGATTGTTGTGAAACTGTGTTAAGGATCTGTGTAATTATATTTTTAAATAATAATCATGTATTACAGAGCTTTGGCAATCGTGACAGTTAGTTGTAAATCCACTTTTATGTTACTACTGTTGTGGATGAATTGTATGCATGTACACAAGTGTGACAACAGCGTGTGAACCAAGTTTCACGTTACTATTGTTGTGGATGAATTATATGCATGAGTACAAGTGTGAACCAAGTTTCATGTTACTATTGTTGTGGATGAATTATACGCATGTGTACAAGTGTGACAACAGCGTGTGAACCAAGTTTCATGTTACTATTGTTGTGGATGAATTATATGCATGTGTACAAGTGACAACAGCATGTGAACCAAGTTTCATGTTACTGTTGTTGTGGATGAATTATATGCATGAGTACAAGTGCGATAAATTACTTCACTGTAACGAACTACTACATTATCAATAGGATATAAACCAGGCTGAAGAAAACAAATGTTTTGTTTAGATTCTTATACTGCAACAAATTACTTCACTGTAACGAACTACTACATTATCAATAGGTTATAAACCAGGCTGAAGAAAACAAATGTTTTGTTTAGATTCTTATACATGCAACAAATTTCTTCACTGTAACGAACTACTACATTATCAATAGGTTCAAAACATTTGTTTTCTTCAGCCTGGTTTATTTTAGATTCTTATACTGCAATAAATTACTTCACTGTAACGAACTACTACATTATCAATAGGATATAAACCAGGCTGAAGAAAACAAATGTTTTGTTTAGATTCTTATACTGCAACAAATTACTTCACTGTAACGAACTACTACATTATCAATAGGTTATAAACCAGGCTGAAGAAAACAAATGTTTTGTTTAGATTCTTATACATGCAACAAATTTCTTCACTGTAACGAACTACTACATTATCAATAGGTTATAAACCAGGCTGAAGAAAACAAATGTTTTGTTTAGATTCTTATACATGCAACAAATTTCTTCACTGTAACGAACTACTACATTATCAATAGGTTATAAACCAGGCTGAAGAAAACAAATGTTTTGTTTAGATTCTTATACATGCAACAAATTTCTTCACTGTAACGAACTACTACATTATCA